AAAATTTTCAGTTTTTATTCATTATCGTCTTTATGGGCAGTTGCACGAGTACATTACTATGGTGATAAGGTAAACACCCGTTTATTTGTTTCCTTCTGTGAAAGCATGTTTAGTCACAAATCGTGGATTTTCTGATATTCTCCATGCTGCAAAAATGATTTTCCTACCATTGAAGGGGCGACATCTCTCGGATCTTCAGTATAGCTACTATTAAAATCATATAATTAATTCATTCGCGTATAAAAATATGACTGTTGAAGTATAAAACTCTTACAAAGTTCGTATCAACATCAATAAAGGTGGGAGGGCTTAATCTCATGCTGTAGGCCTTGAAGAAATTCTACAAATTCTAAAAAAAATTACTCACCCCCGCTCATCACTTTTCTTTTGGAATGACCGTTTTTGGAAAATGGTCATTCAATTTAGCAATAATAAATCATTTTGTTCGACCATTTTCCACAGATATGGCGCTGTTCCGCTGGTAGGAAGTGATAAAAATCCCCATATACAAATTGAGAGGAGTGGGAATAATTTGCTTCCGGTGCATATTCAGGTAAAAAAAAAGTGAACAACAACCTAAAGAAATTAATCAGGGACTTTGTCGTTCAGTTTTTTCCCGGAAATCATTGTTAAACAAGCTACAATTAATTAAAAATGATTTTTCCCCATACAGTTTTACCTGCTTTACTACCAGTTCCCAGAGAGCCACAAAATTTAAATTTAAGAGATAAAATTTGCTCTCACGACCTCAATCTCTCAACATGCCATGTATTTTGTTGACACTTGATTTGTGATTTCCCTTTCACAGATTATACAATAGAGTACCTGTCACTACAAAACATGTCTGGTACCTCTATATATCCATTTGCTTTAACATTTGAAGTTCCTCCTTTTTTACATATTCTGCGCAAAAGATACTTTATGCCCCGCCCCATACATAAAATTCGCTGGGAAATTCTGTGAGGGGTGAGCTATTTTGTGTGCAGAATGTGTAAATAAGGAGGGACTTCGAATAATAATCTAAATGCACTAAATGGTTTGCACTGCAGTGTCCTCTGTGAACAATTATAGGAAAACAGATTGTGTATAGTTTCCGATAGATGTCACCGCAAACAGCAGCAGTGACATCTGATGGAACATGAATGCAGAAGCTTGACAAAATGATTAATTGACGCAATGGAAACAAATCTCGATGAACATTCCAAATCGTCCTATCTGCTTTGATCGATTCTCTTCATCGACTTTCTCTTTTGATAACCACTGCTATGCAAACAGATATCGCGCTTATTTGACCACATAGTTTGTTAAAGGAAGTTCTTATCTAGCGTCCAAAACGTAAAATGCAACAGTAAAAGGTTTTGCAGCTGAGTTTTTAACGAAAGAGAAAGTCGATGAAGAGAACCGATCAATGCAGATAGGACCTTTTGAAATGTTTATCTAGAAATTTACCCATCTACGGATCGTACTCCATGAAAAGTTAACACTGCTACAAAGCAAGACCATGCTGGAGGTGGTGGGTTCGAGTCGCGGTACCGTCTAGGTATTTTTCGGGTTGGAAAATTTCTCGACTTCCCTGGGCATAACAGAGTATGATTGTACTTGCCACACAATTATACTAATGCAAAAATGGCATCGAAAGCTGTCTATTAATAACTGTGGCAGTGCACTAATTTGAGAGCACCAGCGAATCCAAACACATAAAGCAACCAACGATACAGACAAAACGGTTGCTACGACTACCATGACAAACTCGCTCTGTAACAAAGCTCGATCCGAGTGGTAGAAGGATAATGATATATTGCTTGCCTGCTTTGTTGCAATATACACGGATGAGGGCATAGCTTGATATGAATCGGGAAAAGACATAACAAAAAAATTCCCATTAAAGCGCACATTACACATGTCAATATATTGACAAACATCGTATTGTCAATTTTCCTTACAATATTATCAATACATAAATATTGACAACATTAATGACAATACGCTAAAGCGCTCGTTACACGGGTCAATATATTGACAGTAAATTGAAGTACTGACAATATTATTGAAAAGGTAATATTGATGACGATGGATTGATGACGAGTATTGTTGAACAACTGATTTTCATTTCACTTTGTCAATATTCTTCCCCTACCCAAGAGGAGGGAGAACGTACGTCATTTAGATCGATTAACTCACAAAGCACCTTCGCGCATGCAGCAGTGTTGCCATCTTTTTAAATTTTCGTGTGTGATATGCAATCGATTTCAAACTAAATAAAAAATGTATCTTTTTACAGACACCAATCACCCAGGCTTCGTTTATATGGATGTACATTTTCTACAAAATCACAAGCATAACCATGTTATTTTTTGTAACTTTAAAATAAAATAAATACTATCATCGTTTCACATACCTACATGTAACGTAAATTAATTATTATATGCATGATATTTTTTCATTTATGAATGTTTACGAAAACATCAGCATGGTAGTTTCTATTTGGGAAACTGCGTACCGTTAACGTGGGGTATTCCACACGTGTAGTAATTCCGCGCACTCGACAATCGATTTGATTAAATTCGATCAGTTTGGAAGTACATGTCCTGTGTATTTTCTGTGTCCTGTCAAAAAGTTACAACATTTGGTATACCAATTTGGTGTTTGAATGACAAATTTACAGCTCACCAAGAATAACCCACGTGGTAACGTGACTCTCCTTATTTGCATAGAGAGTCACGACAGACACCACGACGTGACTTTTCTGACTTCGATAGTGACAAAAATCACTTCGACTCTCGGAATAACCCCCTATATGTATGGGCAACATTAGGTAAACATTATTGTTCTAACGAAACAGGAGAGTTCAGTGATATCAAAAATAATATTGGAAGCTATAATTAATCACCTAATTCTTACATCATTCTGAGAACTTAAGAGTAGGCCTGGAATAGATCATAATTTAACACTATTTATTCTAAAAATCTTGAAAATTAATTTGAAATGAGCAAGTATAAGTAAATGTTGGGTGAATGTTAATTTCTATGTATATCCACTAAACCCGGACTCCGCAATTTGGTAATTTTTGAATACGGAACTGTTCGGTAAAAGTTTACAAATCAGCGCAAAATTAAAAAAAAATAAAATTTATACCGAAAATGATCGAACCTAGTTAACCCCTTTTGAACGATACAAAACCACTTTGAGATTTTATTGATTTCTTTCGAGTAACGGCCATTTGAAAGTTTTCCATTTTTTTCAGCTGTTCAAAAACCCGGCAAAATTTACCGAATTCAGTGTGTAGCTAATATTTTTAATACATACAGGTCCAGCAATCGTTTCTGTTTGGACCCGAATGCAAACATGAACTCTAAACACACTTTCTTTCGCTGATCGAAGTTTCTTGTGTGGGGAAATTGAGACAAGTAATATTGACTTCAATATTAAAATGTAAAAAAGACTTCTAACGTATTGCCATTAAAGTTGTCAATATTTGTACATCGATGATATTGATCGCGAAATTGACCGTTTTTTGTCAATACATTCTGAGTATTGACAAAGTAAAATTAAAATCAGCTTTTCGTCAATACTTGTCATCAATCATTGTCTTCAATATCACCTTTTCAATAATATTGTCAGTATGTCAATTTATTGTCAATATATTGATATGTGTAATGGGCGCTTAACACACGTGTATCATCTTCGGCTTTACTTCGTGAAGCAGCTTGCCAACAATTTGCTCGTTTCCTTCCACCGCCCCGCATGAGTTGGGTCGCACGAGCTGCTTGTCATGAAAAAGAACGGTGATTTTGTCATTTGGAGATATTTTTGATTCCTTGGAGAGCACACAATAAGCTAATATGCGATACAAAACCGTTTCTTGCCGTATTTGCCGAATTAGATGCTAGATAATAGTGAACTCTATGTGTTGAAAATAGCTGAAAATAGCCATAGGGATGCAAAAAGAAAATCGACGAAGAGAATCTGTCAATGTTACTTCGGACCTAATGCATTGTTCAGCTTGAAATGAGCTCAAATTTTGGGAGAATGATCAGGACCTAAAATAAGAATCGATTGAGCTTGATGAAGCAAAATCAATATTTTGAATCACCCTAATACGTAATTATATCTTCCATCCATCTTTGGTTTTGTCGTACCTGTAGTTTACAAAAGCTGAAAAGCTCGAATTTTTCATCTTAGTATAAACTTTTTGAATACGTAATTGAAAGCCTGTTTGTAAAAGACTTCCGAACCAACTGTTGAAACATAGTGATTTATTTAATCTCAAAACGTACTTTTGTTGAAGTTGAACTTTTGTCCCAGCCATTTTATGATTGACATTAGGACACTTATAAATTTTGAAAAAAATGGTTGATAGATATCCAAAACCCTTTCCTTCGTATGATCAATGCTTCCTATCTGAATCTTTTGATTCAATCAAACTGCTATTGTACCTGTTAAATAATATACTACTATAATCAGATGACCCTGGCGCCAACGCCATTAAATTCCTGCCTGACGAATATACAACATGCAACATGCAATGCATGTGTCTAGGTCAGTCTATGACCTAAAATTTGTGTAATGCATTTGTCGATATGCAACATGCATTTTAATTCATCTGTAGCACCTTGATGCTACATTCCGCAATTCGGTATGTTTGAAAATCCATTGTTCTACAATATATGTAATTATTTTCTTCCATAATTTGGCACATTTCATCCACTATTCACTGGGGATCTTCTTCACTTCTGCCCATGTGGCGAGTGAATCACGATATGGTCGTTCGCGGTGCACGTGCCCTGGTCTCTTTCCCATCCTTGCACCGTGTGCACACATGTTGAGCGGTAGTAAAAAAAAACTACTCTATGGATTTATCATAGTGTGTCATGCAAAGCAACCGTATCCTTGAGTGAGCAACTGGAAGAAAAATTTTCACTTCAAGTTTCACCACCGAGAACCGCGGACGTAGTTTAAAACATTTCTCTCCGCCTTCAAGAATCGGATCGGATCAAGAATCGAAACTTTTCCGCCAGTAGAACAGAAGCAGAATGCGTGAAATCGTGCATATCCAGGCCGGGCAGTGTGGCAACCAGATCGGGGCCAAGTTCTGGGAGGTAATTTCCGACGAGCACGGAATCGATGCGACCGGTGCGTACTGCGGGGACAGCGATCTGCAGCTGGAGCGAATCAACGTGTACTACAACGAGGCCACCGGAGGAAAGTACGTCCCTCGTGCGGTTCTGGTCGATCTAGAGCCGGGAACAATGGATTCCGTTCGAGCCGGCCCATTTGGTCAACTGTTTCGGCCGGATAACTTTATTTTTGGGCAATCCGGTGCCGGTAACAACTGGGCCAAAGGACACTACACCGAGGGTGCCGAACTGGTCGATTCCGTGCTGGATATAGTCCGTAAGGAATGCGAGGGCTGCGATTGTCTGCAGGGATTTCAGCTCACACATTCGCTAGGCGGCGGAACTGGCTCAGGTAATTTTCGAAAATATTAAGTTAGGAGCTTCATCAGGAAACATGTTTTTCCTTATAGGCATGGGCACGCTGCTGATCTCGAAAATTCGCGAAGAATATCCCGACCGTATCATGAACACGTTCTCTGTCGTTCCTTCGCCCAAAGTGTCCGACACCGTCGTAGAGCCATACAACGCTACGTTAAGTGTCCATCAGCTAGTTGAAAACACCGATGAATCGTTCTGCATTGACAACGAAGCCCTGTACGATATTTGCTTCCGAACGTTGAAGCTAACCACTCCTACATACGGTGATTTGAATCATCTGGTCTCGGCGACGATGTCTGGTGTTACTACGTGTTTGCGCTTTCCGGGTCAGTTGAATGCAGATCTCCGCAAATTAGCAGTCAATATGGTTCCATTCCCACGGCTACACTTCTTCATGACTGGGTTTGCCCCGCTGACGTCTAGAGGATCGCAACAGTATCGTGCGTTGTCCGTCCCGGAACTGACACAGCAGATGTTCGACGCTAAAAATATGATGGCTGCCTGCGATCCTCGACATGGTCGATATCTAACGGTCGCGGCCATCTTCCGAGGACGAATGTCCATGAAGGAGGTCGACGAACAGATGTTGAACGTGCAGAACAAAAACAGCAGCTACTTCGTGGAATGGATTCCCAGTAACGTGAAGACGGCCGTGTGCGATATACCGCCACGTGGCTTGAAGATGTCGTCAACCTTCATCGGTAACTCGACAGCTATTCAGGAAATTTTCAAACGGATCGCCGAACAATTCACGGCCATGTTCCGGAGGAAGGCCTTCCTGCACTGGTACACCGGTGAGGGCATGGACGAGATGGAGTTCACCGAAGCCGAGAGCAACATGAACGACCTGGTGTCGGAGTATCAGCAGTACCAGGAAGCCACGGCCGACGAGGAAGGAGAGTTTGACGAAGAAGAGGAAGGTGCCGATGAATAATAACATACAGATACGGTTGAAATTAGTCATCCTGTGAGTTGATGCAAGTTCTTATTGTAATAAAATCTGGTTATTTTACAAATTAATTTCTTCAGAATATTTACAAGCATCTCGGACCTTATTACCGATGTCACTTCACGGTGAAGTGACAACTTATCACTCACGGTGAAGTGTTTCCCATTTGATTTACACGGCAATCACTTCACCGTGAGTGACAACTCGTCACTTCATTTCGTTATCACCGTGACGTGACACCCATAATAAGGGCCCTCGTCTACATTCGGAAAGTATTGTTCATACAAAAACTTGAATTGATTTAACTAGGGGAAATGGCTCTAATGTTGGCCAATGTATCTAAGGTTAGGCCCATCGCTAAAAATCCGCTATTTATCAATTTTATCTAGATTAACGGGTACTAATGGATATTTTTGGTCGCTATTGAAAATTTAGTCGATTGCTGAATTTATGTATGGGCCCAAATCAGGGGCATTTAGGCCGACATTACATCCATTTCCCCTATATGGTGAGATCTGAGCGATCTGAGCCTTCTTATTAATTGAAATCCCGACAAAAGTGCTCATATGATGTGATGTGATAGATCAATTCTCACGTGATTTGAAGCATCAATCATTTGTATCAACGAACCAGTCGCCAATGTTATCGGCGTTATTGACGAGATGTTCAACGGAAGCTTCGATCTCACCCGAAAACTTTTTGGAATTATGTGAATGAGCAACGAAAGGAGTGCATCGACTATTGTATTGAACGGCGAAGAAGCTTCATCCACTCAGGACATTTGCCGTCTGTTCTCAACCAAGTTTGCGAGTGTATTCTCGGATGAGAACCTTCCTGACGAGCACATTTCTCTAGCAGCCAGTAAAGGGTGTCCACGATGAAATTGCCACACACAAAATTCGCAAAATTCGAGTTTTCATCCGATTGCCATCAAATTTTCAGGGATTGAGAAATAACTATTAAACTTCATTTTACCATTTTACTCGTATTTTATTTACAGTCCATACGCAAATGCCCGCACCTTGGCCTTAACCCCGGCCATAAGATTCTGCACAACCTGTGAATCAACCGTTTTTTGCATGTAAACCCATACTTTCTTCAGTTCCTCGACTGTCTTCACTACCTTAGGTCGTTTAAGAAGGTGCTGCTTCATAATCGCCCAGTACTTCTCGATGGGGCGGAGCTCCGGAGTGTTGGGAGGGTTGAACATTTTCGGCACGAAATTGACCTTATTGTCCGCATACCACTTCAGCACGTCCTTGGAGTAGTGGCATGAGGCCAAATCCGGCCAGAAGATTGTTGGGACGTTGTGGGCCTTCAGGAGAGGAAGCAGCCGCTTCTGGAGGCACTCTTTTATGTACACCTGTCCGTTCATCGTGTCCTGGGTCACGAAAGGTGCACTCCGCTTCCCGCACGTGCAGATGGCTTGCCAAACCAGGAATTTCTTCGCAAATTTGGACATCTTCTGAGTGCGGACATGCTCCGGAACGCTGAACTTATCCTTGCCCGTGAAAAACAGGTTGCCGGGGATCTGTTTGAAGTCGGCCTTCACATATGTTTCGTCGTCCATGATGCAGCATTCAACTTTCGTCAGCATGTTGAGCATGCTTCTCGTCGCGATTAGGGGCCTTTTGTACCTTGAACGTTCGAAGCCCAGCCTTAGTTTTGGCCTTGTGGACAAAACTTCGGCTTAGGTGCAGCTTCTTAGCCACATCCCTAACGGAGGCGTTCGGATTTCGGTTGAAGGCGCCAACTACGCGGTTGTGATTTTTGGTGTTGTACGGAATACTTTTTCCTTCACTTCTGGGCTTCCGATCGGTGGTCAACCGTTCCTCGAACCGCTTAATCACTCGCGACACCGTGGAATTTGCGATTCCCAACGTTTTAGCGATGGAACGATGCGAGAGATCCTTGTTCTCGTGATGAATGCGCAAGATTTTATCACGCACGAGCTGTTCTTTCGACTCCATTTCCGCGAGTTTTGATCACAGGACTTTAAAACTTGCAGGATGTAAATAATGCACTATGAACTAAATCCACCCAAATTTTCATTAAATTCTACCCAACGGTTAAAAAGTTAGAGCAATTTCATAGTGTGGCAATTTCATCGTGGACACCCTTTAATGTCTTCATTTTAACCTGGACCTGGCGGAGTTCCTTCCGTTTTTCTCAAGCAACACATCGATAGCCTGGTGGGTCCTCTATGCCTTCTGTTCTAAATGTCCCTCTCCAGTGAATTGTTTCCTTCCTGCTGGAAATCAGCTGAAATGTTTCCAGTGCATAAGAAGGGATGATCGACAACTATCGCGGCATCACATCGTTGTGTGCCATATCTAAACTGTTCGGGTTGGTCGTTATGGAACCATTAGTTTCTCACTTCAAGCAGCACTTGAGCGAAGACCAGCATAGTTTTATGGCAGGGCGGTCGACTACTTTCATTCTTCTATGTCTAACCTCGTACATTACGGAGAGTATGATAGACCATATGCAAACAGATGTCATCTATACTGACCTATCAGCCGCCTTCGACAAGTTGATCCATCATATAGCGATCGCCAAACTGGATAGGCTCGGTATAAACGGCAGTCTCCTACGATGGTTCGCATCTTATCTATTTGATCGTCAGTTGGAAGTTGCAATCGACGACTGCCGCTCTCCTTCGTTCCCTGCCACTTCGGTTATTCCGCAAGGTAGCCACCTCGGTCCGTTGATATTTCTTGTGAATTTCAACGACGTCAATTTCGACCTCGATATGGTCAACGACTGTCGTTCGCAGACGACATGAAAATCTATCTCCGAATCCGAGCCATCGCTGACTGCCACCTTCTCCAACTCCAACTCAACGCTTTTGCTAATTGGTGTCAACTGAACCGCCGTTCTCGGGGAAGAAACATCCAATTACATTCAGTTATATCCTAGAAGGCGTTGACGTACAATGTGTGAATCACATTAAGGATCTGTTAGAATACTGCTGCCCTGTATGGAATCCCAATTACCTAAACAGTATACAAAAAGTAGAGTCTATTCAACGACGATTCATCTGGTTTGCCTTTCGACGATTGCCTTGGAGGGGTCCTTATCGCCTTCTATCCTACGAAATTCGCTGCCAGTTAATTCACCTGGATCCTTTGTGGAGTCGAAGAGATACGACAAGGGCCCTGTTTGTAGCAGACGTTCAACCACGAGCACTCCGCAACAACGCAATGCTGAGGATACCTTTTCGTCGCACAAACTATAGTTCGTATGGTGCTATCAATGGGCTACAAAAGGTTTTCAATCGTGTTGCTCCCTTATTTGATTTTCACTTGGCACGCTGCGTCAGATATTCCGTGATATATTTTTAAGAATTAGGAATTAAGTTGGACTTCACGGCCTTTACAGCTTGTTACTTCTTGACTGTATTGTATTTCCTATTATTGCTTAATCCATCATTAGGGCTAAACCCAGTCTGTTGATGTAGAACCAAATAAACAAATACGTACCATATAGTAAGAATTTTCAACAATAGAACTCGGCTGAAAGTCTCCTTAATAAAGATATAAAAAAAACAATAGAACAACAATACAATTAACGGTAAATGGCTCAGGTTTGTTCGGAAACAAGTGATTTCTCGTATGGTTAACAAACATAACAATCCCCTTCTATTGTACAGATTTCCCCATTTACCATAGATTCTATTCTGGAAACAATACATTCTATGATTATTTTATCGTTGTGGACAATACTAGTTATTGTACATGCAATAAATTCTACTGTACGGTTGCAATGCATTTAATTGTACCTCTATGGTTATTTTTTTTACGGCTTCCGGTATCTTGATCACAATACCCTTTCGTTCCAGATTGGCACGAGGCTCCGATAATGAAGCAAAAGCAGATGCTCGCCAAGTATGTGCACCTGTACGATATGCACAAATCGCTGCCGGGCATCACCGATACCCACTACGTAGTGGCCAACTTTGCCGTCGATTCCACCTACGACAAGCACCTCCGGGATCTGATGAAAGTTTTGCACCGGGTCGATCCGTCTCAGTTCTGCGAGGTCATTTGCCAGGCTGCCTTCCAGCTACTACAGGTGTACAAGTCGGAACCGAGCGTCAAGGTGCGTTACAATAGGTAGACATGATTCAAACACCTACTCACGGAGATGTTTTGCTTGCACGTTACAGCATTTCTTCAAAAAATTTCAAACATTCGCGTTGACCGTCCTGACAGCCGACGATAAGGAGGAGTACTACAACGTGATGGGTAAGCTGATTGAGATGATGTTGAACCACTTGATGCACATCATGTCGGATCCGGAACCGGCAGCAGAGCCGAAACGTATGTTGAAGCTGATCGAGCCTCTTTTACCGGGAGTTCCGATCGAGGAACGATTGAAGCTGTAGGTTTTGGTTCAAAGAAAAATGCTCTATAGGATAACAATGTGGTTGCATGGTATACTTACATTTTCAGGAAAAATCTTCTGCAGAGTCACCCAGAATACGAACGGTTGACTGACGCGGACCGGAAGGCGGTCAATCGCTTCGTGAAGCATTTGAATCCACTGAACGATTGAAGCGATGCTGATGGTTGACTAACGAATTGATTTATTTAAGTTCTGATCTTTGAATTTGTTTTTTTTTTTTTTATTTAGCACTTTCAGCCTTGTTTTCTATTTGTATTATTATTGAATTGATTTCAATATGAACAATAAAATGGTAAGTACAAGCTGTTGAGTCTCCTTTTCAGAAGGGTGTCTGTTAGATCGGAAATGATCATAACATCTTTGGTCGAATTGGTGCATACAATTTTTGGGATACATCAACCCGGGGGCATCTTGACAACTCCAGTATATTGGTTAACAATTGTGCATAATCCCTACTAAACTTTAACTGAAATGATTATGGAACTTTATATGAATGTTTGTGTGATAAAGTTGTAACCTTATTTATTATGGCTTTTGGGAAGTGGCCCTTACAAATAATGAGTTGTTAAGAACCATTACCATTCCAAATTTTTGTTTTCTCCATACATTTTCGGAAAGAGAACTATGTCAGAAACTTTTAACTTATGGTTTGAGAACTTTAATGGTAATGGTTATGGTAGTCCGTAAGGTCCATGAATGGTTTTGTAACATCGATCAACTTTATGTGGAATATATCGCGAAGTGGTTACCTGTAAATTAATGATTAGCAATTCACGATATATTTCACGTACAGTGGACCGATAATACAAAACCATCCATGGACCTTACTTGCTGAATCTCGGCAAGTTTTTCGGTGAGATCCAGCAAAATAAAATGCAGACCTGCTCGGTGGTGCCCATCTCGGCAAAAAATCTAAGTGTGTAAATAGGGCTTAGATCTAATTTTGGGCCTACTTAGCACAACTCGCCTTTTGGCCAGATTTGGATTTTTCAGATATAATCCTAAATAGGACCTAGATTATTTAATACTTTAGTAACCTCAAATCCGTGCTAGAGTCGAGTTTCGAACGCCTTTGGATACGGTTGTGTTTTAAGTTTGTTATCTGTTTTGTGCGTGCATTCACTTTCATAGTTTTCGGCTGCATTTGCCGGATTAGCGCTGGCACTCTGCCTCCCGGACAACCGTGTGTGAGTGGTGGTTTTCTCGCTTTCCGAGAAGTTTTAAAATCGAGAAAGAAAACATGATTCATCATGTTTGCAAAATTGCAAGCATCAGAAGATTTGGCGCTGCGTGGTTTGATTGTTTCTCCCGGACCAAAAATTTGTGGCATCGCGAGTGAAAATTTTAATTTCTGTTTATTTACGCGGTGATGAGAACGGCGCTGATCTATTGTTAGGGTTTTGCGATGTGCATTGCTTTTGTGCACGGAGTGACTTGAAAAAGAAAAGCGAAGAAAAGTGATATTTGGTTGTTGTGTGGTTGGAGTCGCTGACCATTGCCGCGGGTATATCGTGGGAGTCCCAGGTACCCGGTTCAAGCTTTAGTTGGCGGCGGTGGCTCTTCTTGACCTTCTACCCCCTAAGTAGTTTGTGTGAATAAGGGCGTCTATGTGATGTTTTGCTGTATCTGTTGTGGACATCTAGTGCATCCTGTTCCCTTAAACTTGTTGAGGACACCCTGTCTCGATGTCAAGCATACAAGGTCTGGAACAACAAGTAGCTTGCTGGTGTTAGAAGCAAAAATGTTGTAAACATTGCTGAGCAACCGAATGCCGATGTCACGGCAGCACAACATTCCATACTGCGAATAGCAGACGTGTCGTCACAGAAAACAGCTGTTTCGTGTAAAACTATAAACATTGCGATGAAATACGACCACCACTAGTGTGTCAGTCGACACCAAACTGATTTAAACAAAATAAAGGAGTTCTTTTAGTTCCTTAATCAACCTCTCACCGTGAACTTCTCTAGTGTACTTATTTATTTCTTTAAAAATATAGGTTTATATAGATTTTCTTAAAGCTAAACAATAAAAATTTTCTACCTACTATTATCTTACGGCGTCCTCATCGGGAACAACGGCTGGGTTTTATTATCTCGTCTATGCTTATTCTCCATTCGAGCTACCCGCTCATGGTGTATTTTGAAAAATAACAAAGGCCGATTTATTTCACATGTTTCTGTTGCCTGATTTTATTTCCCTGTCTGCCACGTCATTCGAAAAGTCTAGACATAATAAACACAGGATTTTCCAGACTGGACGATCTACATGTGGTCTGTCAGCGACAACTAGACATTTTCACATTTCACTAATACCAATAAGCCAGTTGGGCCAGACCTTGTATAATTGACATCGACCGTCTTGCCTCAAAAGTTACCCTTTTTGAAGTACTAGTCTTCACAACATAAAGGGCACCATTACCATAGAGGTAACTCTAAGACCACTGGGTCCCGAAGAAAATCATTATTATTTTTGGCTCACTCAGTACCAGAACAACGGTCCCAAGCAGTCCCAAGCTATTTCACTCACCCCTGCATGTTCTGCATGAATCCACACACCCCTGATGTTATCTGTCAAACTTTCATAGCGAATCAAAACAAACATAGTGTAGTAATAGAATTTCAACTAGAATAGGGTACGTTAATCGTTTGCTTGGGACCAATAGGCTACTAAAGTGGTGAGCCAATTTAAAATCGTTAGTTTCGTATTGATTGTTGCCATTACTGAGCATGAGATTTGATCAAATTATTCGCAGTTCTACTTGTCCAACGCCCCCGGCTAGGTGAGGGATAGAGGATGACACACACACACACACACACACTTTAGTAACCTCAAGTCCGTGCTCTGTCACAATGTTTAAAATGGGGTAAAATATCAAATTTGGGGCGAATTTGAAAGAAAGGGAACTTGGAGTGTAGAGCGCACTGCCCACTGGACGATTCCGAAGCCTGGCCAAGTGAGTGGGGTATGGGTTTGTTTGATTAAGCGTCATTTCCAATTTATATATTGATACATTCAAATCATTGTCATTTGGTATTTCAGATAAGACAGAGATAGGATGCGGAGGACCCGCTTAGGAGGAGCGTTACCCATGTTATGGTTTCCATTTATTAAATAGTTCAGACAGGCTAGAAATGACAGGTTTATAGTGAGAGAATGTACCATATTGGGATGGGAAAGCATAGCATAGGGTTCAGAGCGGCTGAGCTGTTCGGTTGTAGTTTGACCTTCCTTCAAAACCAATTTGGTTCTAGAACAATTTTAAACTTGTTCTGCATTATTCACATGTTGCAATTATTGAAAAGAGTTCGATATAAAGTAGCTTTATACAATTAAATAGAAATGCCAAAATCTTACCGAGTACTTTACTGCCGTTCTACGCATATCTGTCCCATGTTACTTTTGGGCGTTTTTCACTTTTGTTCATAAAACAGTACTTTTTTATGTAGACTTTGGATTGAAAATAAAAAAACATATTGTTTGTTCTGGGTTTGTATAAAAACAACATCAAACCTATTTGTCCCATATTGAAATTCTACACATATTTTCTCGACTGAATTTATCATTAACGAATCGATTTGTGTACACAAATTATGGAAACAGGATTTATACAATCAAAAGAAACAGTATGAACCATTTTAGGAAGTGGCAGTTTTATTTAATGTTGATAAATATAACAGGGCTGGTAGCGAGTCACTTTTTAGTGACTTGGTCATTTTTTTCAAGCCAGTCACTAAAAAGTCTCTCTTTTTAAGGCCAAGTCACTAAAGTCACTTTTTCTTGTAATAAGTCACTATTTTCAACTTTTTTAGCGTGAATTTATTTCAAGATTGATCATTCTTTGCTTTGTGGCGTTTAATCGTCTTTCTATATCTACAGGGTGTCTACTCATTTTTCTAAATAGACTTACCTGAGTTTTCAAGGTTTTTTCAGTACTTTACCGGATAAAATCCAGGTTTATTATAAGAAATCTATTCTTTAAATGCGTTAAAAATATGCTTTTTTGTAGATAAAAAACTAAAGTAATTTGCATTAACTGTTTTAAGACATGGCAATCAGTGTTAAAGAAACAGCTTTACAATCAAATGTTGAAGTTTAACACTTACTTCATTTCTCACTTAATAAAGTTTAAAAAAAATTTACTTAATTTGAGTAAGTCGATCTAAAATTTTTCAATATCTTGAAGTTTTGTATTTCATGTTCAAGATATTAAATATTTTGAAAGGTCCAGAATCAAGAAAAAAAACTTAGGAGAAATTCTAAGTAATAAAAAGAAATGCTGAGAATTTCAGTAAAGCTCCATAAACAAACTGCAGGAACATGAGAGAAGTTATTACGCTGAAAATATGGGGAACTTACTGGAAGCTTCAAGAACCTCAAAGCAGTTCTTTAACCATCCGAAAATTTTCGGGAACTTTTATGAAGTTCGTGGAATTTCAGAGAACTTCACAGGTATCAAGCGAACTTGAGAAATATAGAAAACATGAGGGGTATTGTGCAATTTTTTAAGAAGTTCTAAGTCATCAGAAAAGCTAGAGATTTTTTGGGAATTTCAGATCTTAAGAGCAGTTTCCGAAGCTTTAGTCCAGACTTTTGGAGCAGGAATAAAAAACAGTGGAAATCAGGATAGTTCCATGATGTGCTGAAAAAAAATCGGAATTATGGGGTATTCCATAAATTCTATGATTGATCCGAAAACGTCAGAAGCGTCAGGAAATTATGAATATGTATCAGAAAATTTTCCGGATTATTAAATAAATTTAGAGAATTTCAGGTAACCATAGATAAGTTCAGGGAAAATAAGTGAGCGTTTCTAATGCTTATAATACTTAAGAAAAATTGTCGAAACTTCAAGGCAACGTTAGAAACATTGAGGAAATTTTAGGAAGTCCTATAAAGTTCAGGAAAGTTTAAGAATTTGATGAGAAGTATTGTGAGTGTCCGGCTAATTTCTCAAAACTACAAAAGAACTTCAAGGCAGTTTCATTAACTCATTAACAATTTGGGAACTTTCAAGTAGTTCTTAAGACCTCAGAATAGTCCATTCTGATTTCCATTGAAATATTCCTCAACATTTCAATAAAGCTATCCTCCTAATTCAATTTTCTTTTAGTTTTCCTCGGAATTATCTTGAAATTCTCTTTTTGAATCTCACTCCTTGGAATTCTGTTCACATTGAAAGTCTCCTAAGAATTCAGTGGCATTTCTCCTCGCAAATTCCTTAGATTTATT